ATGAACTTTCTATTTGGTTCCCCACCCACCCCGCTACTATGACACAGTCCTGAAGTGTCGTTTTTGCTTTATCAGTCGGCGAGATTGCAACCATTCTCATTATAATTTGCTTCCAGAACTCCTCCCGTTCACCGGGTTGTTATAGTTGCCTGAGTTGTTAGACCGTTCTCATCTCTATTCGATTGAGATACACATTTTCGAATGCTTTTATGCGTCACTCACACAAAAACAACGCAAACCAAAACAAAAACGTTTTCTGTGTGTGAATGAAATTCGGTAACGACAATTTGACCAAACTGAAACCGGGCAAACTTTGCTGATTATCGAATTCACGCGCTCACACGAGCACAATATTCAGGTAAGATGGGCCCCGCGATGCCAACCGTTCCATTCAATATCAAATACAGCTTGTTATTTTAAGCAGAGTTTTCTCTGCTTGCATTTGGTGCACTTTCATTAGATTGATTCAGGCCAGTTTCAGGCGTCCATGCCGTTAAGCCAAGTGCATGCTTGCCGCGGTTGGTTATTCTTATCCTCAGGGGATCGGGTGACGTTGGAGATTGATACTATCTGCGTTGGGCGAGTATTTCGGTGTATTGACAACGGCTGAGAGAAAATACCATGCTGCAAATCAAACACTTATCTGATCAATGTGCGCTAACAAATATTTTTAGCTGGTTATAAACTTCATGGTATTGTCGAAAACGGATGTGGATGGGGATGTGCCATCAAATTCAATATATATTAGCCGCATTAAATAATTTCGTGCAATGTGCAGAGAAACTTTATAGTCTTATTCGATCGAATAAATGTGAGTTGAGCTCCCTCGCATCCCATGTGAACGCGCATTTATCGACCAATCAAATTCATCCACCGCTTTCTCTCTCTCTCTTTTGGCTCCGCCTCCATCTCACTCTTGTGCATTCCCCCAAGACAGAAGGAATGCCCGGCCACCCCCCACCCCGTCCTGCACCGCGTCTGAGTTTGACTCATTCTCTCCACAATTTCCTCATCCCATCAGGATTTCGGTCTTCGGCTGACTTAAGGTCAGTATGGGACTGGTGCACGCAAACATACACGCACGTCTACACACCCCATGCCTGCAGTATGTGGACGCACGCAGCAATGAGCTGTCCCTATAGAAACTCCCCGAGGTTCCTGATCCCCGATGAAAATGACCGATCACCGGAAGGAAGAGCGTGAACAGTAGTGGTAGGTCGAGTTTCGGGATACGGAAATAGAGC